ATATGGGCTAATATCAGACTCTCGGACTTGATCTGGCCTGGGCTGGGATGTTTTCTCAATGTTCAATCGCTCTTGTATATAAATATCTTTCTTATACACATATGTGTGTCCATGGATTTGTTTCTCTAGTCTGCCCAGACACAGTAGTCTATTGACAAGAAACTTAGCTGCCAGGGGTTCAGGCCAGGTTCAGAAGAGGACCTGGAACAAGAGGTGTCATTGCCGATGCGAGATGGATCTTGGCTGAAAGCAGAGAGTACCAGAAAGATGCTCACCTATGTTTCATTGACTCTGTGAAGACATTCAACTGTGTGGATCATAACAAACTATGGATAACCTTGAGAAGAATGGGAATTCCAGAACATTTCATGTGCTCATGCAGAACCTGCACAAGACGCATTCACGGTTGAAGATCAAGGATTACAGCCTTCAGTACGGATTATAACTTAATGTAAAGAAAACCTAAATTCTCTCAACTGGACCAATAGGTAATATGATCAGTGGAGAAAAGATTGAAGTTATCAAGTTATTTTGCTTGGATCCACAATCAATCCAGGGTCACTCATGGAAGCAGCAGTCAAGAGATCAAAGGATGCCTTGCAGTAGGTAAGTCTGCTGCCCACGACCTCTGTAAAGTGTTGAAAAGCAAGGAAGTGACTTTGAGGACTAAGGTAGGCCTGATCCAAGCCATGGTATTTTCAGTCACCTCATATGCATGTGAAGCGTGGATATTGAATAAAGAATTTGCAGCCATCCTAACTGGCCCAGGTGTCACCGTGGGCTAGGCATTAGACTGCAAACTGCAGGGCTGGCAGCTCAGACTCACCGGCCGCTCCTTGGGACAAAGCCGAGGTTGTTTGGAAACCATCTTAGGGCCACTGTGAGTCAGAACTGCCTCAATGGCGGTAGGGTTGGGTTTTGGCATGAAGACCCTTGCCCAGTGCAGGCTGAAGAGAGAGAGAGAGAATGACCCCAATGGCCCCTCACAGCCCAGGCCCCTCACCTGCCCTTTCGATGGGTGGCAGCCTCTAGAACCGCCCCCCCCTCCCAGGGAAGAGTGGATGAGTGGCCCTAGATTTTCCATGTTTCTTCAGTGCCAGGAGCCGCTGAGCAAAGCATCTGTGGCCACTGGCTCTACTAGCAGAGAAGCAGGTGATAAAAAGAGGAAAGGGCTTCAGAGCCGAGGCGGGGAAGAAGCCCTGGGCCTCTCAAAGAGGTGCTCTGTTCACTCCCTCACTGGACCTGAGGGGACGGGGCTTTCCAGCCAGGATCACGGCCCTCTGTTTAACTCCTCCTCCAGAAGAACTCCCCCAAACCCCACCAAACCCATCACCACAGAGTCCGTTCTGACACGGGGTTCTAGGAAGGCTGTAATCTTTACAGGAGACTGCCTCATCTCTCCCACAGAGCGGCTGATGGATTCGAACCACCAATGTTTAGTAAGCAGCTGAGTGAGCTCTTAAACACGGAGCCGCCAGGTTTCCTACAGGATCACCCAGGCTGGTATCAGTGCCTCCATCAACTCCTAGATTGTGGGGAGACCGTTCGGAGCTAAGCTGGTTTTATTTAATATGTGAGAATGAAATGTCTCCTTGTCTCCCTCCCTCCTGGAGAACCTTGGCCTTCCCTGGCTGGCTTATCCATAATCGCAAGTGTTTTATTATGTTAAATCTTCAGCATCATAAATACTGATGAGGTGGATTTACATTTTTGGAAGCTTAGGAAGAAATCAGTCCCCTGCGGTCTTGAGCCCTCACCAGTCAGGGAGGGAAGCTGGGGCTTGGGGACAGCTGCAGCCGCCCTCCCCAGAGAGTGATTGCTCCAGGGCCCCAGGGCTGGGGTCAGCTCCACATCCTGTGGCCCAGAGCTATGGAAGTTGGGACAGCACCTGCCTGGCCTTTCCCTGAAGTCCCAAGAATGCCTCAGCCTCCAAAGGTGCATGACCCCAGCAGCACATGTGGGCAGCTGGCTCTCAGTGCCATCCCCACCGCGCCGTGAACATTGAAATAGCCCTGGGCAGGACCCCTCAGGCCCTCCTGGAGCCAGGGCCTGGGGCTGCCCTCAAGGGTGCCTTATGCAGCAGGTAATGGGGCGGGTGAGAGAGGGAGATGGATGGTGGGGCGCAGGCAGCACTGCTTTTGTAATGCCTTTGATGTTGTGTCCTCATTGCTCACTCCTTCCTCATCTCCTGCCCCGGCTGCTAGCTAAGCCGGCCCCCAGCTCCCTCCAGAGCCACCTTCCTGTTCAAGCAACTAACTGGAGCTTGGAGGGCTTCCGGGATGGCCTCAGCATGCCTGGAATGGACGTCTTCTGCTCTGGGTTCACGAGGGAGGTGCTTGGAGACTGCCCGGCCATGTGGTGGGCTGGGTACACCGCAGACCTTTCACAGCTGGCCTCCAGAAGCTGCTCATGGCCTCTGCTTGTCAACTTGGGCATCCAGCCTGTAGGGCATTTAACTCCTGGGCCCTGACACAGGGTGGAGGATGCTGCAGGGAACAGCCAGGCCCTGCCCTGGAAACACTGGCCACACCTCCCTGTCCGACCCCTCTCCTCAATCTGCTCTTTGCCTCTTGGCCCAGAAACTGGGTCTGGGTCAGTTTGACAGCCAATCTGACCACTTGAAGGTCTTCATATTTTAGATTGTAAACCTTCTTTTGAATGAGGAGCTTTCTGCGGCCCAGAGATGTTGAATATTTGCCTGGGGTCACACAGTGAGCTAATGGTAGAGTTAGGCAGTCCTGGTCCACCGTCGGGGTTGGGGGTGGCAGCTCCATCTGTGGGACAGGGCTGGTGTGTAAGATCACTCTAGGCACCAGAGATAAGACCTGGCCCCCTAGCCTTCAGGCCACCGGGGTCCCCTTTACATCCTACCTTCATGGCTTCCACCAGCTCCTGCCCAGGCCCAGGGCCCTGCAGGCCCCTGGAGGGTAACAGTGTACATTCTCAGCTGGGGTTCAAAGCCCATGACCTGGTTTGCAACCCTGGTGCCCACACATCCTGTAGTCTGCCCCTTCGCCATCTGCGCTTCAGCCTTGCCCCTGCTCTGCACCCCTTCCCAACCCGAGAGGGCCCTGTGCCCATCCGAGTGCCCTGATGGGCCCGGCTCCCCCCACAGAGCATTTCCTGCCACTCCAGGATGAATAGCTGGTGTCTTCTATGATCCCCCTTGGGACACACATGTCTAACACAGCCCTTGGCCCCTGCCCCAGAAGATGCTCCGTAAATGCTTGCTGACCATACCCCTCACAGACTAAGTGCTGGCTGGGGGTCAGCTGGCCGGCTTCTCAGCTCTCCTGGGAATCACTTGATGACCTGGAAATATCTTGACCTGTTCCTTCCTTGGGGTCTCCCATCCCCCAACATTGACACAGTCAAGGCCATACCTGCTGAGGGTTAGAAGGCTCGGCCTGTGGCCCCAGGACCCCTCTGAGGACATCTGTTCTTGCTTTTCACACCTATCCTGCCAAACACAGTTATGAACGTGCTGTATCTCTATTCTAGTTTTCAAGCTTATCTTTTTTCCCTCTTACTTAATCTAGCTGTTTCCCCAGCCTCCACCCACTGGTTAGTGAAAAATTAACTTCCCCTGCAATCCTGTTTAAAGCTTAGTCTAATCTGATGCTTTAAAGAGCCTTTCTGGAGGGGTTCTCTCTCCCTCCCGAGGATAGAAACTGCTGCTGCTGCTGCTGCTGCTGCTTGTGCTGCTGGAGAGCCCACTGCCTGCCTCTCCCAGTGACAGCACAGGGAGCTGGTCCCGGAGGGCACTAACCCTGGCCTCAGCTGCTGCCCAGGACTCTGAGCTCACCCCAGGACCTCTTCTGCCTTGGCCCCCATGCCCTGTGGTCCTTGGGTGCCACCACCTGCCCTTCACTGCAGGGGGCACGAGCATCTTGTGAGTCCATCCCAGAGCAGGCCTCCTGCGG